CGTCCGGAAAAATTTTGTACTCCGGAAAAAATGTTTTACCCCTAAAATGGTACACTGACCGAAAATTTTTTGGCGACGGGGGGGGGGGAGGTTGTTCTCCGGAAAAACATTTTTCCGGAAAAATTTTTTTTGATAGGGCCCCTAAAAAAAAAGTTTGGCCCGGACCCCCGCCAACCTCTGGGCGGCCCTGCTTAGAGCGGCTTAAAAATGCGTTTAGTCTTTGAAATTTTTCCTTCTTTTTGCTACCGACGTACTCGAAATTAGATTCTTCTGCTTTTATTACATGGGAACTATGTAGTTGCTATTCTTCCAGCTGGGTTTGGTAAATATCGTTCGTGCGCTAAACAAAATTAACAGCCAAAATATAATAGTATTACGACAGTTGTTCTCCAGCTGGACAGCCTTGCCTAAGAAGACATGGAAAGTGTTTTGAACTGGGAATGTTAAACTTGGTTTTACCCTTCCAAAGACTCTGCTGTGCGACGATTGGAGCGAGTTTATCAGGAATATTTTATACAGTGATTCAAAGAAATGTGTTTCCATATACTGTATATGTTATTGATGTATTGTTGAATGTCACTTATATTATAAAGTGTCAATGGTTGGAATATTTATTCATTGATATTTTAAACACAGATGAAGTGTTATATGCTCTTTCCTTGTTTACGTTTTCCTTGCAGCCAAATGTTGTTGAAGCTGGCAAGCTGCAAAACTGACATATGAGTGATATGACCCAAATATTGGATATGCATCTTAGTTTGCTTCCAGTAAAATGTAAACAAAACCTTAAGAATTTTATACGAGATAAGAAAAATTACGTTTAAAATCATGACTGGCAAATTAGCATGTGCGAATCGATGCTTCCTAATAATCGTATGTACTCCAGTAAAGCTTGCTTGCTTGAATTCTTGCTGTTACCATCTGCACATTATCAGGGTGGAGAGTTGATTTGAATTTTTTGTCCCAGGGGATAAAGGTAGGGAATAGATTTTCCATCACAAAAGGGGCAAGGTGCCCAACCAGTTAGAAGATGGCATGTACTTTAAGTGACCATTCATTATGCCCTAAGGTGGGGGTGGGAGATTCTTATGTCAAAATGTCATGGGACCCCTTTTTAATCTCTTAATTTAATAATGGAATCCTAAATATTTAAGAACTAATCCCTCCTAAATATTTAAGACTATATAAGATGATGCAATTCTAATCTTCATTCATCTGAATGCCTGACTATGAAGAAAATTCATTTTGCAACACAGGGATGGATCCAGCATCATCTGGTAGGGGGGGG